GATTTTTAAAAGATACAGATAGTAAAGCTGTAGTTTCAGAATTGTTAGGTTGTGTTATTAAGTATGTCACATGCAGGGTGAGGATCCTGCAGATGACTGAACTGAATCTTCTTAGTGACATATTAAGTTCAGAGTCCATTGAGCTGGAAGGCATCTGAGAGGTCAATCATATGGGTTGCTCCTATATTTTACAAAAGAGAATATTAAGGCTCCTGATAACTAGCCCACGGCCCCATAACTCAGTTTCCTAAATTCTAGTCCAATACTCTTAAAATGTTATAGTCTTTGCAATCTACAAGGAAGAAAGACAGGCTGCAAGTGTGTATTTAAGAGAGGGCTAAAATTTGGCTAGAAAATAACAAATACTTTCAGGAACTAATTCATATTTTTAAAGAAAGCATTATTAAGAAAGGCCTTATAAAACACCCTGAGAGATAAGCTTAAAATAATAATACTGTGTTAATGACTTGTCAGAGATAGCCAGTGATCAATTTTGATGGTTTACAGGAGTTGTCTTTTGCATATTGTCCTAATATTTAATTTAATTTGTTTATAAGAAAAACATTATATGCTTTCTTAACTATGTAAGGGGAAACATTGAGACACTTCTAAAACTTTACAAAACTGTGCTTTTGGGGCTTCTCAGTTATCTTCAAATAATTGCCATTATTATTTATAAAAATTAGTTTCTTCTGTATACATTGCATGGTTCAGCAATTCACAACTCCTTTTGAATTGTGAGTTTGTGAAAAAAAATCATTAAAGAATCACAAAGGGTCTTTATTTATATGGGTCCTGTCTATTGACATTGGTCTTTCAAAATTAATATTGAGAAAAAAATAAATGTTTAAGATAACAATAAATCTGTTATATGCATTTTTTATGAAAAGTAATTTTCTAAAAAATGAAATGAGTAAACTGATGTTTTACACTTTTGCAAATTTCCTTGGTATCTGACTTCATAAAAGGCAACTGGATTCTTGTATCTTCTGCATTCAACCTGTCGTGATATATTGTTTTGGTTAAAGTATATGAAGAAAATCTGGCCTCATACAGATCCGTAGTTGGAAAGGGAGGTTTAACAGGTTTTTTTTTTTCAGATAATTGTGGATATTCTTCTTTGATACTAAACAATAACTCGACAAGTGATAGTTTTCTAAAGGTTAGTTTCAGTGTGGTATCTGGAGCCATACCAATGTGCTTTTGGTACTTTGATACAGTAAGAGCCATTGGTTTCTCGCACTTTGAATAGATCCTTTGCCCGTACATAATTTTATAACACTAAGCATTCTTCATTCATTTGGAGAGTATGGGTCCTCTGAGTTATGCAGATTTTCTAATGTTGATGATTTCATTATATAATATCAAAAAAATACATCTGTTAATATCATCACTAATCTCATTAGAAAAATCTTTAAACATTGGGAAGCTGTTGAGCTCATAATGGCTAGTAGTTTTCCAAAATTTTAATTTTTACTTGAAAACTCAAATTTTGTCACTGGCAATTAATACTGTCAGACCTGTTCCTTGAAGTGAGTCTTGCTTCTTTCATTTTGGAAGAAAATCCTGTCAAATACCTAAATCCAAATAACCGAAGTTTGTCTGCCAGTCACTTAAGTAATAATAGTGTTCCATGAAAAAAATAGCTCATTCAGCATACAACTCAAACAATTACAAAAGTGTGTTTTCCTCAACACAGCCATTATACTCTGCTATGCTGTGGGAGTGCTTTATGCATGTTTCCCATTTATCACATAGGATATTTAAAAATGTATACTCAAGAATGTATACTCAAGTTTAATTAAAAGCAATAATTTTTACTAATTCAACAGGGACATTCTTAAGTGAAACTGGCATTTTTACAGTGAATACATGGCCCTGGAGACTTCACATTTTGGTGCCACTTCTTTGATTTATGTTAATGTACCAGCAGTTTTGCTCACCATTGCTTTTTCACCATCAGTGTAAAAAAAAAAAAAAAACAGTGAAAAAAGTCAATTTTCATTTAAGTATTATTATCAAAATTATTTTGACATTGTGGAGTTCCTAAAATCATCTAAAGAACCCTCTGTCTGTAGTCTACACTTTGAAATTATTAGCATAGTTAATATGTTCCTAAGAAAATACTAAATACTTCTATAAGAAGAAAAGAAAAAATTTCAAATAGATTTTAGGAGTATTCCTTAACAGATGGACTATCTTCTCTGGCAAATGTATCCTCACAGAAAGCCTATTAGGAAAGTTAATATTTTTATAGAGAATAAATTTGAGGTTTGAGTAGCTCAAACCTCAAAGCTCAGAAGATAAGCCACAAATTGGGAGAAAATATATACAAAAGGTACATCTGATTACGGTCTATTATCCAAAACATACAAAGAACTCTTAAAACTCAACAATAAGAAAACAAACAACCCATTTAAAAAAATGGGTCAAAAGCCTTGAAAGACACCTCATCAAAGAAGATAAACAGATGGCAAATAAGCATATAAAAAGATGCTTCACATCATTTGTCATCAGAGAATTGCAAATTAAAACAACAATGAGATACCACTACACACCTATTAGAATGCCCAAAATCTAGAATATAGACAACATCAAATGATGGAGAGGTTGTGGAGCAACTGGAAGTCTCATTCATTGCTGGTGAGGATGCAAAATAGCATAGCCACTTTGGAAGACAGTTTGGCAGTTTCTTAAAAAACTAAACATAACTTAACCATATGATCCAGCATTTATGCTCCTTGGTATTTACCCATAGTAGTTGAAAACTTATATACACACAAAAAACTGTACACAAATGTTTGTAGAAGCTTTATTCACAATTACCATAACCTAGAAGCAACCAAGATATCCGTCAGTAGGTGAATGGGCAAATAAACTGTGGTACATCCAAACAACGGAATATCATTCATCACTGAAAGGAAATGAGCTCTTAAGCCATGAGAAGACATGGGTGAACTTTAAATACATATTACTAATTGAAAGTGAACAATTTGAAAAGGCTATATGCTGTCTGAGTTTAACTATATGACATTCTGGAAAAGGCAAAACTCTTCTCTTATCCTCAGGAATTATTAGTAGCCATGCTGGTGGTTAATGTTGATAACTAGAGACAAGCCCATTAAGGAGTCAGCCATCTGTAGTACCACATACTTTCAGTAACTGCTTTCCTCTAGCTCCTCCTATGACTGGGCTGTATGCAAAGGTCACAGTGGGATGTTAATCACCATTTCTCTCCTCTAGGCCCTAAAAATAATGATATATGGAATGATAACAGCTCTTCTGCCTGTGTCAGTATAGTTTCAAAGCCAGCTTTTACTTACCTTATCACATTTAAACCTTTTAAAAGTCCATCGAGGCAGTTACGGCAGGGATTACTCAGTTTAATTAATAAATGAGGAAAGTCTGGCTTAGAGAAATGACTTTTCCAAGATCAGGAAGCTAGGTAGTACTTGAATCAAGGTTATTCTGGCTCCTGGTCAAGGTTTCTTTCCATTATGTTACACTGCTTCTGATTGTCAGTGACATTTACCGTCATTACTATTTCATTGCCAGAGGATTTCACGGTGGGGGAGGAGGATATTGTGAAGGTAACGTGGCTTGAAATTTAGCCCGTGCTTCTTATCCAACTTTGCTTTATTTGTACTGAAATGAAATAAATCGAGCTAATTGTGACAATCATGTTAATGAATATGACTAAATAGAAATGACAGAATCAATGCATTTTGCTTTTTAAAAAAAGTTAATCAGGTCTTCTAACATTTGTAAAGTATGATGCCAAAAAGATCTTGATGCAAAAACAAAAATCTTTAATCAGACTAAATAAAACAATAATCAAATACATATGATTTTTTTCAGTATAATCTATATGGCAGCATACACCTCACATGATAGAAAATACTGGGTACTTATTTGACATTTGCATTTTCCATTCCAATATTTGTCTTCAGATAATTAGCTAGCCTGATTATAACACATGTTTGAATTGTTTTTATGAGCAACCCATTATTGTGTCTTTGGCTATCCCTATGAATTAATTTACAGGTATTTTGGTTTCCTTGTATATCAGTTTAATTCACACATCTCCAAAAGTTAGCAATGGATGTTTTCATTGTGCTACTGGATACCCTATTTTATTTCTAATAATAATAAAAGAAACTTCACTTTATATCATTGTTACATTAAATAGACATATGTTTTATTTCGTGAACAACAAGGAAAAACACCATCTTTGGGCTATTTAATAGTGTTTTAATTCCTCTATGTAGACAAAAGTAATAGGCACTCATATTTGCCCAAATTTAATTTAAACCTCAAAATAGTTATTTAATATCTGACCTACTATAAACTTTAATTAAAATATGTATATTGCTTTAATTAAAATATATATATATGTATATTCTGTCTAAACTAGGCAGATTCTTTGGGTAGTGTTTTAGATCATAATAGTAATAAGAACAGTAAACTGAATGTGTGCCAGGTACTGTGCTAGGTGCTTTACATGCATTATAGATTCATAGTCTATACTTATGATCTGAAATTATGGATTAATATTGATTAAAGCATAAATGACATAGTTACTATATGTGGAAACTTATTTTAAAAATGCTTTCAGCAAATACTCCATTAGGTACTCTCCAAAAAAGATTTATAGAGTACTGCCCTGGGAATTAGAAAAGTGAGGTATTATTCTAATAATCCGAAAAGTAACAGACATGCGAGTGGTGGGGGGATGTATATGATAGCTTTATTTTAGGCTTGTTAGAGTTTCCTGGAGCCCCAGTCTATTGTCTAATGAGTAATAGCCTTGACTGTTGTCACATCTCACATATGGAAAAATTTCAAATGTTTAGAGCCTTCCAGGTAATGTAATACCTGGGTTATTAGAGTGGTCTTTCAGAAGTTAGCTTCAGAAATAATAGAAAATATCCAAAAAGTAAAATCCTTTTGTGAAATATGGTATCATTTTATTTACAAATGACGGATTTTACTTTTTGCAGATGTGTCTTGCTGAATCAGGGCTCTCTTATCCCTGCCATCGGCTGACAGTGGGAAGAAGATCTTCACCTGCACAGACCCGGGAACAGTCCGAAGAGGTAAGCCTATTTACCAGCTTTTCAATGAACAGAAGGCCTATCCTCTACCTACCTGCCCACTTCCTGTTCTTTTTTATCTGCCATAGCAATGAATAGATAAAGTTAATGTAGTGTGAATAAAGTCTCAGTAAATTCTTGAAGGCGGAAACTTTCCATGCGAGGTTATTACTAATGTGCTCTTTTTTTTTCTTTAAGTTTCATGTTTCAACAGACAGAATTTGGGTGGATTGGTTGAAATGATTTTTACTTAGAACTGTCAGATTAACAAAGGGATTTTCTTTGCTGCTGAATATATAGTTGAGTACATTTATTAGGATTGATCCTGAAGTCCTTTAACTCATTGAGTTGGTACACCTTTGAGCCAGGCATTGTGCTTGATACTAGGTAACAAAAATGAATAACAGTGTACCTACATCAAGATGCTCAGAGTCAAAGGTAATAGATAATAATAATAACAATGTAATAAAGGTAATAAATGCTAGCAGTTAGAGCAACAGGGTGCTATAGAAACAAAGAAAAGGAGCAGATAAGATTGAACATGTTCATGTGTGTGATGTGCCTGTGTCTGTCTTTGTGAGTCTCTACGATATTAAAAGGCAATATCTTTTCCATGGCTACATGTGTCCAACTATGACTGGTTATAAGGAAATGGGGTAGTGAGCCTTAATATTACAGTTTATCCATTTGAAAAGTTATCCATTTATTGTGCTCCTACTATGTGCTAGGAAAAGTCATTACCATGACATAAAAAGTGTATGCAACAGAGGTCATAACTTAATAATAGCACAGAAAAAGTTTATTTACATCAGTGTTTTTCAGGCTAGAGCATGGTCCAAGTATTTAAAGGCTTAGGCTGATTTAGTAAAACCATTTTCTACTTACATTCTATACAAAATATGGTTGCAAATTTTTGTTGAAACTGACTATATATTTTGGACATATTATGGAAGCTGTCACAGCACCGCTCCAGCCATCCTCTGAATATATATTTCTGTCACTTAAATATGTGAAACAGAAATGAGACTACATAAATGAAATTCTAGTCTATGATCATCCTATGAAAATGATAATTTGCTACTTTGGTTTTTAGCATTTTTTTTAGAAATTCACAAAGAAAGAAGATTTTTTCCCCTTGCTACAAATACTACAGTACTATTTTCTTGGGCCTCTAAAAATGTTAATTTCCTTTAAAAAGCCCATACCGTTTTCCCCGATATTTTATCTTACTAATCCTCTTCCTAGCTGCTTGGGTGGATCAGTATAGGGACCCCCTGGACCCAGGCTCCTTGGGAATTGTCTAATCCTTAGTTGACAGTGGAGGAATACCCCAAGAATAACAAAAAACAAAAAACAACAAAAAAACCCACAAATTTTAAACATAGTTAATGTTAAAACCATTATAACTTCAATTAAGGAAACATCTGTTGAATGCTCATTATGTGCTAGTTAGATGACTGTAAACTGTTAATTTTCATATTGTATAATTAATGAGAAAATTGAGGCAAGCACCAGAAACTAGGGGAGCACAAATATAGGGGTGTGGTATAATTTTCAAGAATGTTTGCAGGCAAAAGCCTTGTTTGCCTTATCCATCTCACACTAGCCCGAATACCTAGTGTGCTGCCTGGCACATACCAGCCATAGAAAAAATATATGTGAATGAATACTTTAAAAAATAAAAGAAAAGCTACAGGAGTTGACATCCAAATCGAATTATAAAGAATGAGTCACAGTCAGCCACATGAAGAAACAGAAATGGTATTCCATTCAGAGGAAACAGTATGATCTGATTAGTAAATGGGGACAGAGCAGTGCCGTTTGGTGTTTGTGCAAAATAAAACAGAAGACAAAGATACGGGATGAGGCTAAGGCGAGTAGGTCTTGTATGTCTAATGGAGAACTTGTACTCTGGGGAGCAATAGAAGACAAGTGGGGGATGGTTTGGGGGTGTTTGTTTGTTTGTTTGTTTGTTTTCCCAAATCCACATTTTAGAGAAGAGCACTTTGGCTGCTATGCAGGGGCTAGATACAGACGGAGAAATCAGATATGAATCTATTGCACTGGTATAGGCAAAAGATAATGACTTCCTGAACTAGAACGTCAGTAGTAGAAAGAGAGGAGGATAGGGATTCAGGAAATATTTTAGAAAGAAAATTATAGGACTAGTAACTGATAGGATCTGTGGGAGAAGAGCGATATTTAGGTTTTGGCTTGAGTGACTAAAGATTCATTCAGTATTCAATAAATTCTGATTATATACCTGCTCTACACCTGGTGCTGGTGTAAGTGCTGGGAATATGGCTGTGAACAGTCTTTCCATAAAGGGGTTTGTACCTAACAAAAAAATAAAAGTGAATGCAGATAATTGCCAAAAATCTTTATTCCAATTTTTAAAACTTGATGAGACACATATTTAGCTTGTCTGCCTGTGGTGCAATGCTACATACAGGCTTCTGAACTACAGGCAAGCAAGCTAGTCATCCAGTTCCTCAACATCCCTATGTGAATGCCCACTGCAGATTTGCTCTCTACAAAACTGCACCTACCATGTCTCCCCCAAAATCTATCTCCTCACCCATATGAATGCTTATCATCAACTCAAGCCAAAAACTTTGTTTCAGTCACTGAGGGACTTGCTGTTCTTTGAAACTATTCCTTCCAACTGATCTAATACATCAAGATTTTTAGGATCCTTTTTTTTTCTATTCATGTAAGGTTATTTTCACATTAGCATCAAATTTGTTACATTACTTTGTTTGTTGAGAAGTTTCTTGCTATTAGAGTTTATGTTCTGCCCATTACCTAGATTTTACCCCATCTAACCTCTCCAGCAACATGGGTTGGGTAGAAGGGGTCTCTCGTGCATTTTACCCTCCTCCTCTCTATTGGTTCCTTTTCTTCATCCTAAAAACATGTTCCAGTCTTCTCATCCTAAAAAAAATATTCCTTCAAACCAGGCTTCCCCTCAAGCTTTAGCTTCATCTTTCCTTCTTTTTTTTTTTTTTTTCCATAGTCAACCTTCATAGAGTAATCTATATTAGATAGCTCTGTTTCTTCATCTTCTATTAACTTAACTTACTACAACTTGGCTTTTTTCTACCATGTGACTAAAATTGAATATAACTATTAGAGTTAGATAATAGTTTTTGTAAGAGACCATGCTACACCATCTCTTTTCATTTTCACAGCCACCTTTGTGGGTCAGTATTAATCACATTCTACAGTGGGGATGCAAAGGCATACAAAAGATGGATGGTAGAGTATTCAATGCCAAGTCTTTTGATTATTAATTCAGGCTTCTTCGTTGTGTTTTTTGTTGTTGTTGTCATAATACCATAGCTATCTCTTTCTTAATTCTCATTCTACTAAACCTGTTCACAGTTCTTGTCTCCATTGAAATTTCCTTAGACCTTGCTTCTAAGATTCTTTCTCTCAATTGACTTTCTAATCTTTGACAGTATCTCTCCATCTCTTTTACCATTTCTCTTTCACCAATTGAAATATTTATATATTCATATATTTATATATTTAATATTAATTTATATATTTATACTTACATATTCATGTATTTAATATATAATTATTCGTATATATATTCTCTTATCCTTATCACTTTTTTCCCTTTATTTTTTAACTGAGTGATCTTATTCATTCCTATAACCTCAACTATTATTTATATGCTGATTACTTCCAAATCTAAATCTTTTCTGGGCCTCTTTTCTGAGCTGCTAAGATTTTTTTTCCAGCTGCCCACTGGATGTTTTTACCAGGTTGTCCTACAGCTTCCTCAAATTTATTCTATGTAAGAACTGGCCTCAGTATCCTCCCTCACCAAACCCGACCTTCTCTACCTTCTGAATCATCCAAATTATGATGCGTTTTCCTCTTCCATTTTTTTCATCCTCGAATATAATTAGTCAATGGTTTTTATCAGTTCTGCTGAAGTATATTTTAAGTCTATTCCCTCCATTCAATTCACACTGCTACTGCACAAGTGTAGGCTCTCAAGTCCTCTCACTTGGAACTTTGAAGTATGTCTCCTTTCTCATATTTTCAGGTCTAATCTTCCATATGCTGCCACACTACCCCAGACACACATAGACATATGCAGAGCCATCAGAGTTGTTCTTTTGAACAATCCTCTGCCTAAAAACCTTTAGTGATTTCTCTGTTGCCGTCAGAGTAAAGTCCAGATACCTTAATGTGCCAGTTTAAGGGCTACAGTCTAGTTCCATCTACAATCTAGTTCCGTCAAATCTTTTATCCTCACTGCCAGTCCACATTCCTCTCCCATACATAGAGCTGATGATTCAGTTTGCTTTTCTGAAGTCTTCATTGATTTTTTTAAAATACCCAATTCCTTGCCTGAGTTTTTTCTCTGTCTAGAGTACAGCTCCCTCCCCACCAGTTTTCCATTACACACACTCCACAAAATTGATATCTTTTTGTAAGGTATGGGTTAATTGTTAGCACTTATGTGAAGCCTTGCACAGTTGTCTTCCCTGATCCCAGAGTAACTGACTGTTCTCTCCTTTATTCTTCTTTATTTATACTTTTATTGTATCTCTTATCATACTGAAAAAGACATATTTGCAACTAAATATATCTTCCTTTAGAATGAGGATTTCTTGAAGGCTGGAACCATGTTTTATCTCTGTATCTGTAGCTTTTAACCTGGTACTTTGACATAATAAGTAGTTGGTGAAAGGAATATCTACTTCAAGTATAAGTTTGCCTTAGTGCCAAGTATGTATGAGTTCTTATTTTTTGTCTCAAACAGTTTAGTTATTATCTCCTTTAGGAAGTTTGCCCTGATCCTCCCATTCCCAGTGCATTAAATGCTCTCCTCTGAACTTACCTATCATACACTTATTACTAGATATTATAATTATCTTTTTATTTTGTATGGTGTTCTTTAAGAGAACACAGTCTATATCTTTCATAGAGGTCCAGACAGCATGGTATTTAGTAGGGGTTTGTCAGTGTTTGTTAAATGATAAAGGGAATAAATGAGTATAATAAACAGCTAAAGTAGAATCACAATTTTTTTAGCTGTTTTTAAAATTCTGAACAAATAACTCCTCTGAATTCAAAGAATTTTAGGGCAGCCATGAATGAACCAAGAGATTATCTATTCTCATCAGCAAACATTAATGAAAAAAAAGATTGTTTATCTCATTTTTTAGAAAAAGCTTTTCCTAACCTGTTAGATGGCTGATAAGAAAATGTGAAGAGATTGGAAGTTCCTTATACATAATTAAGTAGCTCATTCTTGCAGATACTTCAATAATTCATATTTGAAATATACTTTTTTCAACAAAATCGGCTTTTTAGATACCTCCCTTTGAAGATGTAGAATTTTGCTTTCTGGGATAGTAAGAGATTTGGGAATTCTATACTGTGTGAAGATAAAATGAATGATAAGTTACATGGGCACAAAATTAAATCACCATCTTAGTATGAGGTGAAATCCTAATGTTAGGAAAGGGGCTATTATTTGATTGAAAAATGAATTAGGAAAATGGGGGATAAGGTAAAAGGGGTGAAGAAGAAAAGATGATATGTAGAACAGTCCCTTTCTTTTCACCCCTGTGTCCGTCGATCCTCCTTCTTAATCTGATGCCTCTTGAAGAAGGGGTGAGTACTAGGCAAGACTAAGTGAAGGCTGAGATGATAGTGTAGTTGATAGAGGGTGTGAGAAGGTTTATTATACCAGACCTTTGTTTCTTTCCACTTGTCTAGGAACCTGGATGAGCATCCAACAGGAACATGTAGTGTACCTTTTAGATCCTGAGCCTTTACCTGTTTAAAACTGAGCCTCAAAGTCCAAGGGAACTTGATATTCTAGATATTTGCCTGCCTGAAACACACGGGAATTCAAGCACAAGTGTGATGTTAGTAAATGTGTTATTTTGTAGAGGAGGCTCCCTCACTGCTTTGACATTTGAAGGGATTTTGCATTTTTAAGGTATTGCATTGCTAAAATCAGGAGAGGATCTTGGCTCTACAAAGCAAAATACTGAATTAGGATTAGGATCACAAGTAGAACCAAGGTTTTTGTGAGAAATAATGGTACAGTCAGAAGAGCGGATAGACAATTTAGGGCAAGGGCCATTCAATTTTATTCCTCCAATAAGTATATGTTCATTACCTTCTCTGTTCACACTATTGGGAAGACTGTCTTTATGAAGGAAAATGTTGCAGTTCTGGACATTAATGCTTGGTTATGCCCAAGGAAGAAATGTTAAGCCTACTGAGTCAATTGGAGTGAATGTCTTGGCTTCCTCATTTGGAGCTATAAGGCTCACCAAATCAGTAGTTTTTTCAATTGTTCCACATTATTTTGAGAGCCTTTGAAGATACACCATCTGTCAAAGGATATGAGGAAGAAAAGGCCCCGCCCAGGAGCATTAGGCTCCCCAGTGCCCTCTCTCTGCATTAGCCAGAGTAGCCTTACTTTTATATATTGTGTGCACTGCAGTTTTATAAAATGTTATGCTTGGGGCTGGGTGAAGGATGTAACCCTGTGAAAAGAAGTTTGAAAACACTGATGAGACGTCTTTAAAATCCCTTCCAGCTTTAAAATCTATGATTCTATTGCTGTCCAAACTCTAGCATGCCCTATAGCTAAGTTTTATGAATCTTTGATTCTAAGTTTCTCTTAATGCTTTTCTGGCAAATATTTATCTCTGATTTAGGCTCTTTTGCATAGACTGAGGAATCAAATTGTTTCCCCATTCACAACTTAAGTACATAGTGCCATATTTTAAAAGATAGAAATTTCATTTATTTGTCTTTATTTGTTGCTCATAGCACTGGCAGACTTTTAGCCAGATACTTTACTGGAACCCTGTTCTCATCCAAGGCAGAAATACTTGTCAGTATTCATAACTCAGTTTAAATGTTTTAAGTCTCAGTATTTTTGAAATCCCATTCTAACTAGAGATCAGCAGCCTAGTTCTGAAGTTGTTTTTAATTGTAATACCTTACATCTCAACTGATGTTGCTGAAAACAAAATAAGCAGAACATGTTTATCAGTGCCCAGTATATAGTAGTATATTCTCAATAATATACTACTTTATTTAATACAAGTATCATTATTGCATCTCATATTTAATAGCCTTCAGTTTACAAAGAACTTTCATATATAGTATATTTCATGCTATCTTCTAATAATACTGTGAGAATAGTGTACCATATTCACTAATGAGAAATTTGAGAACCATTGCAGTAAGGAAGTGCCAAGTTTGAAAATGCTACCATTACTTTACCTGACAAATATAGATTTATGTGAGCTTTTTGGAAGACTCATATAGCTTACTTAGTCTCTGATCTCTCCTACTGTACCTATCTCCTCATTTATTGAGCAAATATTTCTTGAGCACTTAATTGTGTTACTATAGGGTAGGGATAAAAACCACAAAAACCCTGTCTTCGTGGAGTTTGTAAGCATCCTTCTTCTTCTTCAGTCACTAACCTTTAGTCTAGGGGTATCATCACAAATTTAGAAATATATGTAAGCCTTAAACTGAAAAATATCGAGCTTTGCTCTAGCAAATGGCTTCTTCTTTAATAAAACTTTTATAATGCTAAATGTGATTATATAACTTATACAATGGAATTTGATTACCTAAAGTCAATGTAAAACTAATCAGGACTTTCTTTATATAGCAAAGCACCGATGTTCATATGGTTAGTGATAGTGATGGAGATGACTTTGAAGATGCTTCCGAATTTGGGGTGGATGATGGTGAAGTATTCGGCATGGCGTCATCTGCCCTGAGAAAATCTCCAATGAGTGAGTATTAATAGCTCTTTGGGTCCAGCATTATATTTCTCCCTCCTAGTGCCAAAACTTATGAAGAAAAGTGAACTCGAAAATGTCTTTCTGACCTTCAAGTTTGGAGAGAGAAAATATAACAAAATATATTCGTTAGAACCAGAGCCTCTTGAGTTTTGATTTTATTAAGCCCAACATTTCCCAGTGCTTTAGTAAACTTTATTAAAACTGCAAGGGAATAATAACTTCTGTTTCACATGTATAATTATTTATGAATTTGTCTCTTTAAACCTAGAGGTAGATAAACAAATAACTGTACTTTCTGTGACTGTACTTGTTTCCCCACATCTTATTGGAGATCTCAGTTTCGAGAGTAGTAATATCACTTTTCCATTCACTGGTACACATCTTTGAAAGGAAAAAAATAAATTAAATGTGCCATCTTCCTCACTTTCACCTTGTAAGATGCATACTATAGAATCACAAGTGGTTGCTATATGCAAAATGACCTTTAAAAAAAGTCCTTAAATGGCTCATTTACTCTGAAATTAGGAAATTCCTGTGGGCAGAAATAGATATGATATTTACATAAAATTGACTTTTTCTGATTATTAAGGTCTTTAAAGTAATTTCACATTTTTAAATATAATTTAATCACAAGATGTCATTTCAAAAAACATTGAAATTCTAATTGATGTCTGGCACATATTTTAAACGCTTTTTAGCAGAATTGTGTCAGTTGATTTTCCAAAATTTATGAGCTTGAATTTTTTTTAAGTTTCTTTTTTAAGGTTTGATGAAATCTTCTAATGTATATCGAGTTAAAATGTCTCCTCAGATATATCACAGAAGCTAAAATTTAATTTTATTTCTTCTTTATTGATTAAATATATTTCTTATATGTGGGATTAGATGTTATGTGGTTTGTTTTTTGTGTCTATTTGTTTTGTTTTTTTTGTTTTTGTTTTTTTCTTTTGTTTGTTTTTTAGTGCCAGAAAACGCAGAAAATGAAGGAGATGCCTTATTACAATTTACAGCAGAGTTTTCTTCAAGGTAGGGTTAGGACCTTAACTATATAAAATTGATGTTCTTTTAATGCTACTGTGATTTTTCTGGAGCAATTGTAATCATAAATTGATTGTTTTTAATTTCTCCTTAAAGTATTCAAAGGATACATTTATCAATCTATATAGTCTTGATAGTAAAATACGTATATTTCTGTGTCAGATAACTAATAAACCACATGCCATTTCAGAGATGTATTCATCTTATCTTTATATCTTTATTGAAGCACAATAATTTAATATCTTGACTATATTCCCAAAGGACTAGGTTGTAGTATAATACTTTTTAATATATCCTAGGAAAAACAAAATATCCTGTAAAATAATATTACATAAAAAGATAATTTAAATTTTTTTAATGTAAGTTTTTTATTTTAATATTTGTTTCAGAATCATTTAGCATTTTTTCTTTTAGGAGTCTAATATAATATGTTTTATATGCATTTGAAATTTCCTTAAGGTGTTTATAAAGATTTGAATATTTAACCCTAAGTTTTCATGTGAATGATATTTCTCTTTAGTTCTGTTTTCCACTGTAATACTATAATTTGGAAATTTTGTAGGATACCATTTTTTTGCCCTCTCTGTTGGACTTGCAGAACTAAAATGGAAAGTTAAGGACACCGTAACTAGGAAAATCTTATGAAAGTGGGTAACCAAGAATTGCTCCTTATAAATGGCATGGTTTTGTGGCACTTATTAAATACATTTGCTAAATGTACTTATTATATATATCAGTATAGGCTGATATTCTTCTAAGAAGAATTCTAAAAATGAATGAAATTCATTGCCAGAACTTTAAAGAAATGTTTTAATGATTGGTCTATTCTTAACAGACATTAGCCCCAACATTTGCTTAAGTTATTGGATAGAGTTGTGAAACTTTGATGTAAATTTGAAATGTATTTTAATTAATAGACCCAATTTTTTCTATAGATATGGTGACTGTCATCCTGTATTTTTTATTGGCTCATTAGAAGCTGCTTTTCAAGAGGCCTTCTATGTGAAAGCCCGAGATGTAAGTGCAATCTTACCTTTTCTGATTAAAAGTGCATCCCATAAATTTACCATTAGGCCCGAGGCAATGCTTGGTGTTTTCTGTTGTTTTTCAGACTGAAGTCTTGATTTTGTTTCTGGTTCATCTACCAACCTAATCATCAGCAAGATACCCATTTCAGAAGGGTAGTAGTATGACGGTACTGCTGTCTCTTGCAAAAGGCTTTGGCAAGCTCTGAAACAGGGTTTTTTGTAGGGAAGAGAAAGGCAGACATGCTTAGAAGGGACCCGGCTACTTGTTTGTATTCTTTTCAGTTATGTAATTGACAGTTTCTTGCTAAAGGATTTGTTCTTCAGTCTTTTCCCAAAATGATTATTTCATCTAATAGTATATAGTTAATAACTACAATATTTTTTCCCCAAAAGTCATTTTAGTCAACAGAAATATTCTTCCTTAAATACAGAAATGGGCTTTGTAATCTTGAAACCAAGAGATTGATGTTTATAACAAAAATTGAGAAGATACATTTTAAACAAGAAGGTTCTATGAAATCACTTATATGCTGACACAGCTGTCCAGTAATCTGGCTCCTGCCTCTTCCCATTCCCTGACTTACACTTAATAAATCTAGCAGTAGTGTACCATTTGTATTTTTCCGTAATCTTACTCTTTTTTTCATGCTTCCTAACACTGTC